AGGAGAGAGAGAGAGAGAGAGAGAGAGAGAGAGAGTTGCTTGGGGGAGAAGGGAGGGGACGGGCCAAGGAACAAAGAAGGAGGAGGAGGAGGAGGAGGAGGAAGAAGAGGAGACGAGGAGATAAAAATTCTCCAACCTTTCAAGTTAAAATCTGACTCCCGACCAAACACAACCGTCCATTCATCCATCCCAGGTCGTCCGAGGGACACAGTCTCTGTAGGAGCACGCACAGCAGGGAAGACACGCAGCCACTGCCGAGGGCACCATGGAGGCTCGTCGTTCGTTTGAGAGCATCCCAGGACACCAATTCATCGGTACGCACTCGTTTACGCAGTTGGATGGAAGTTCTGCATGCATCCGCATTATCGCCCTTCACGCTGCATTCTGGCGTCTGCCCAGATGCCACGAACCTCCAGCCAACTGGTTTCTATGTACAAAATACGCGTGGTACTCGATCACGTTATTTCTCATGCACATCCAACCCATGCCATAGATGATGAATCAAACTCAGAAAGCGGCTGGCGGGGCAATACTCTCTCACTTTGACAAATTATTGCCATGAAAGACAGCGCGCGCTTGCCTGCCTTTCAGGAGGGGAAAAACAATAGAATTGAACGTAAACAGAAGAAGAATACAACTAGGAACCCACCCGCCTTTCCTACTTGATTGCTATCCTGGTCAGCTGCCATACTACTTGCTCGCCCAGCGCCTGCAGCTTCCGCTCCTTCCTCCGCTCGACAGAGTTTTCCTTGCTGTGGTCATGCGCTCAGCAAGCGATAATCACGAATCCTTGGCTCCTTTTAGATGTGCCCCTGCACTGTGCTCTGTTCCATGTCATCACAACTAATCCACTAACTCCGGGGACACATGGGTGCTCATGCCATCTTTCCATTCGTCTCCGTCTGTCTGTCTGTCTGTCTGTCTGTCTCTCTGTTTGTCTGTATGTTGGTTCATCAGTCCATTCCCCCGTCCCTCTGTCCGTCCCTTCCGTCTGTCTGCCCGTTCTCCGATCTGTCCGCTTCCTCATTCCCCCTTCCTTATGTCCGTCCCTTCTTTCTGCCTGCCCGTTCTCAGAGCTGTCCGCTTACTCATTCCCACGTCCGTCTGTTCGTCCCTTCCGTCTGCCTGCCCGTCCTCCGATCTGTCCACTTGCTCATTCCACCGTCCGTCTGTCCGTCCCTTCCGTCTGCCTGGCCGTTCTCCATTCTGTCCACTTGCTCATTCCCCCGTCCTTCTGTCTGTCCCTTCCGTCTGCCTGCCCGTTCTCCGATCTGTCCGCTTGCTAATTCCCCCGTCCGTCTATCCGTCCCTTCCGTCTCCCTGCACGTCCTCCAATCTGTACGCTTGCTCATGCACCCGTCCGTCTGTCCGTCCTTCCGTCTGCCCGCCCGTTCTCCGATCTGCCCGCTTGCTCGTTCACCCGTCCCTTCCATCTCGTCTACCTGTTTGCACATTGACTCATCCGCCTGCCGCCCAGCTAGCCGTTCCTCCACCCATCCATCCCTTTGACGAACGTCCGCCACCCATCCAGCTGTCTGTCCGTCTATCCATTCGCCATCTATACTGATTAATACACGTGCTCCTTTCTGAACCGACATACGCCATTCCTCCCTCAATCTGTGCCATTGATAAACCCTCATCCTTGCCTTCCCATACTTCCTTGGCCAAACCTTTCCCTAACAGATGTAGACCAGCGCATCCACGGATTTCAAATTCCCCAGAAGGTTTCTTTGCTGCAAAAATAGAAAATAATAAGTTCACATTGCCTTCAAAGTTTTCGACGCCAAACGTTCTCAGGGAGTCGAAACCAACGACCACTCACACCAGCGACCGCATGCAAATCCAGGCCGCCAAAGCTTGGAACAGTGTGCCGCCATAGTAAAGTGTCGTTGCTGTCAAATCAGTGTTCTCTGCTCTCTCCATTCTTCACATCTCAGGTTTGCCAATCCGAGGCAAGCCCCTTTCTTCCTCATGCTCCTTTCGGCAGAATCTCCTTTGTGGGTATACATATATGTATATATAATAACATAATGAGAAGACGTCGTCGTCAGCCAGGTGCTTTGACTTCTCAAGGCACAACAGACAGGCATTCACACAAGCGATGCCATTGAAGACGAACACAGCCCCACGCCGAAAAAGCCCCAAGTACTGCTGACTTCTCCGCTTAGATGCAATCCATCTGTGCCCATCGATCATCAGATTCATCTCCTCACGACGCCAAGTAGGGATGCGAGCGAGGCGGCTCACAGCCGCTCACAATTTCAGAGGAGACAGCTCTGAGAGGATGCCCCCTCCTGGGATATCATCCGCACACATCTGATCTGGTGAAACTTCCCGACACTGAAGACTTCTGTGTAAAACAAGGTTCGGCAGGGTGTTCCTGTCGCTTTTTCTTATGGGAATGCGATTCGGACACACTGCAGCAACATCTCCAGAAAAAGTGCAGCCTCCTGCATCTCTGTTAACAGATGAAGTAAGATTGTTCCGGACGTCGCGACCTTGGGCTGGGATTATGAATACGATCTCAGCGAGGCACTTAGCAAGGGTATCCTGCCTGCGGCAGAGTCTCTCGCCACACAATAGTCGACGACCGTTAGCCAATGGACGTTGCTTCCCAACTTCCTCAGCTCCTCCTCTGCATTAAGTACAAAGTTAAGTCTCACACAACGACCGAGCGCCGACAACGGACGACCGAGCGCCGACGGAAAGGTCCTATCTAGACATTGATACCAACCACTCACTAAGCACAGCCCCACCAGAAGATCCAAAAGCTATTCAGAATTTCAGATCCAATGGTTCATTCCCGGCTTTGTCCTTCCCCCTTTCTGCTTTCTCCCCCACATCACAGTCCTCCTCCTCCTCCTCCTCCTCCTCCTCCTCCTCCTCAAGGATTTTACCCACAGAGATGTGACAGCGCAGGATTGCGAAAAACCTGGATCAAGCTGGCTTGCAAGGAGCAATTGGCAAGTCTTTATCGTAAGCAATCGCTACTCAACGCTGAAAAACAAGAACCGATTTACTGATTCCATAAATTGTCTGTTACGTGCCGATTCACCAGGGAACCAAGTGCAGATCCCAGCATGTGAACCGACGTGCACCTACCAACATGCATGCATGCATGGCTACAGTTACACCATTAACCCCAGATCAGACAAGTCATCCATCGGGATGTCGAGGCCAAAAACGAAAGGTGCCTCTGACGCCTGCGTGCCAAAGTCGTCGTCGAGAATGCCCAACCAACCATCCTGCTCGGTTTCGCCTCCAGGAAGCAGTAACGATGCGCCAAAGTCCTCTTCCGTCGGTATCTGAACTTGCGAGAGGTCAGCAGAAACATCGCTTTCCCGACATTCCGATTCGGGAACCCCCGGAGGGGATACAATCTCTTTCTGCACCTTCCCCTTTCCGGACTGCTTGCCGCACCTTTCGCTATCCGTTTTCCGCGTCCCGCTACTCCCTGTTGCAGCAATGCTTTGGCTACCCACCCTACATTCATCACGGTCGCGGCCTCCCGTTCTCGACTGCTCAACAAACGGCTTCTCGTCACTTACTGTTTCCAGGTTCACGTTCTCTTCCTTCGACTTCCAAGAAGTTCGGCCCTGGCTCCTCACCGCCGCCACTCCTCCTCCACCTGGCACGCGCAACTTCACGGTCTTATTGTGCCGCATTTGGTTGTTCCTCTTGCTGCTCGAGTCATTCAAGTTCAAGCTCTCTCCCCTGTCCTTCCCGGCGCCGACCCTCTCCATCTTCCTGGCCTTCGCAGTCTTGACATGCTGAACCTCCTTTAGTCCCGGGGACTCGTCCTTGACCGTGCGCGCTCGTACGACTATTTCCGGAACTCCTCGCGAGACGGCTGGCGGCCCTGATTCGATGCCTCCTTGCTTGATCCCATGAGAAATGTCCTCTTTACAGCTGCTGCCGACTATGGCAGCTGCAGCTGCAGCTGCAGCAGCACCAGCACCACGTCGACTGCTCGTCGTCGCCTCCGCATCGTTACCTCTTCTCAACACTCCCGAGTTCTCCTTATCCTCCATGCTCGCTGCTCGCTGCTCCTGCTCCTCTTTTGGACTCTTCCGGGAGGACGAACGTGGAAGAGTGGTTAACCTGAGCGGCGAGCATTCCTTTACCGCAGCAGCTGCTTTCGTCTCCACACAATCTTTTCTCTTTTCCAATTCCTTCAGCTTCGTAATCACTTGCTTGATGAACACCCAAGGGTCACCTTTTCGTGCACCCTTCCCTCCCACTGTACCAGGTCCACTACCCCGTGCTCCCACTGCCACTGTTCGATTGCTACTGCCACGTGCTCCCTAAACAGACCGATTTCCAATTCCAACCACACAAGGTCGTCACTACATGGCAGAGTCACCAGGTTCAATATATCGTCACAAACAGAACTGCCCGGTAAACCGTAGATAGAGAGAGAGAAGAGGACAACAAACGAGGGGATGCAGGGTTGCCAGGCCGAACGTACGGAGGCCCCTAAGCTGACCCCCAAACGTTCGGGCATTCGGGTCCCCGTACGGGGCCCGAACTTGAATTGGTTCGGACCCCGCAAAAAAATATTTTAACACCTAACTTAGGCTAACTATTATTTTTTTTTCCTGAAAACTTTTCTGTGATTTCTTTGTGATATAAGGTATCTCCCTCTCAATTTTGAAGTCATTCTGTTCAGCCACCAAAATATGAAAAATCCTCAAAGATGGTGGTGTCAAAACTTGCTTGCCCACTCACTAATTTGTTTTTTCTCTCTTTCCACTTCAAGTTTTTCCTTTATTTCAGGGCATGAAAAAAATTATCATTTTTTCAAACTTTATTTGTAGATTCTCTGTTGCGTAAGATACACATATAAATTTGCATGGCATTTGTCACAGATATATATGTATATATATATCGTCAAATAGTATATATATACTACGGTTTACCGGGCAGTTCTATTTGACGATATATACTACGACTTCGCTAGCTTCCTGCTACGGTTTTCTCCGGTCAGGTCGAGCGGCAGTGGTCGGGGCCCTCACTACTCGGCCATGCTGTGCCTCTAGTGCCAGCGGCGTGTCTGGAGTGTATTTTTTGGCTGTGACAGACCTTTCTTTGTTTCGTGGGTGTTTTGCTGGCTTGTGATGGGGTGTGAACCGAC